AATTGCTGGGCTGAGGGCTGTGTGGACCATGGTCTCGGGGAACATTTACCTCATTTGGCATAACATAGTTTATAAATAAAATGTTCTACATTCTACCTTGGTGAGTAGCGTCCGGGATCTTAAAAGCCTGTGAGTGGCCATCTAAGATACTCCACTGGTCTCAGCCCTTTGGGAGCAAGGGAGAATGAAGAAAACCAGATACAAGGGAAAGATTAGTCCAAAGGACAAATGGACCACAACTACCACAGCCTCCACCAGACTGAGTCCAGTACAACTAGATGGTGCCCAGCTACCACCACTGACTGCACTGACAGGGATCACAACAGATGGTCCCAGACAGAGCTGTAGAAAATTGTAGAACAAAATTCTAACTCACAAAAAAAAAGACCAGACTTACTGGCCTGAGAGAGACTGGAGAAATCCCAAGAGTATGGCCCCCAGACACCATTTTAGCTCAGTAATGAAGTCACTCCCAAGGTTCACTCTTCAGCCAAACATTAGACAGGCCCATAAAACAAAATGAGGCTAATGGGGCACAACAGCCCAGGACAAGGACTACAAGGCAGGAGGGGACAGGAAAGCTGGTAATAGGGAAGCCAAGGTCAAGAAGAGAGAGTGTTGACATGTGGTGCTGTTGTTAACCAATGTCATAAAACAATACGTGTACTAACTAATGAGAAACTATTTGTTCTGTAAACCTTCATCTAAAGTACGATAAAAAAAAATTTTTAAAAATGAATCAGAGACCTATTATCTATTAATATAATCCATCCTTGCCAAGAAACCACTCATGTTGGATCCAGTTGCATATTGGGTAAATGTAGTAAGAGTTAGACTCTACAGCCCACCCCCACCTCCTATTTATTAGAAAGAAAAAAATATATATTATACTCCCAAGAGATCCACCAAGATAAAGAGTTTCAGTTACACAGGAGCGGACCATAGGAGACAGATGTCAACAAAGGTGTTGAAGTGGTAGGGGCCTCATAGCTTAAACAACCTTGTGTGTGAGCAACCTCGTGATCCTATGTGAACTTTATTTCTGGCCGGCACATTCTCATGCACTGGGGGCTGGTATCAGTTTCATCGAGTGCCCTGCCAGTTCCTTTGCTTTTCCTGTGTCCTGTCTGCCTGGCATCTATGGGTCTTTGCTTTGGACAAGTGGTGTCCCTGTTTTGTTGATGACCTAAGCACGTGCTTACCTTATTTATTGGGTAATCCATCCTTGATCCCAACTCAAGTTCCACTCCTCAGGGATGAGGTCATGTCCCTCTGTAATGTGATCTTGTGGCACCCTATTCTCCTTTGTGGCACTTGCCCCCAGTGGTGACTGTATATTTATTTCTATGAGTATGTGTTTAAAATATCTCAGCAGCACTAGAGTGTAAGCTCCACAGGGAGAGGGATGGATATGTAGGGTTTTCTCACTTGGTGCAAAACAAGGGTTCAATAAGTGTTTATTGATTTGATGAACAACTAGTTGATTGATCCCTAACAGTACAAATGGAATTTGCCAAAGTTGGGGTTTACTTGAGTTCATTAAAATTAAAAACAAAGGAGCTGGTGTTAATTGGAAATGTGGGTCCAGTAAGATGGAGAATGAGAACCATATTCCTTAGAAAACTGTAATGAACTCAGTATGTTAGGCTAATAGTCCACCATATAGGAATTAAAATTCAGTAAGAGCGGACATTTGCCCAGGGGAAAATAATGTTAATGCTAGAGGATTACCACTTCAAGCTAGAGGCATCTTAGTGTGGATTAGCAAATCTAGCTTAAATCTACTGTTAGTGGGAGATGTCACTTTAAAAAACTGGAATGAGAGAAAAACGTTACAACAGGGAGAAGCCTGGGGAGGTATTCCAGGCATGCCCCACCCTAAGATTTCTGAAAGTAGTAATAAACCATACCTCAGATAAAAGGATTACACAATTCTCCTTTGCTTCCTGTTCTACTGTTGGGAAGAAGTAATTTATTTGGAGGGTGGGGAATCAGTGGGTCAAAGAGTTAGCTCCCTGTCCCAGGTCTTGGCTCCTCTGGCCTGCTCTTATGTGCTACAGCCAGAATAATGCTTGAATCCACAGCTCTGATCATGTCACTCTCCTGTCTAAACTCTTCATGACTCCCTCTGACCCTCAACGTAAGAGCCTTAATAGGACATGATCCAGCTATCTGGCGCTCCCACATGAACTGTTGCCACTCTTTGCCCCTTATTTCCGTGAACTCTATAAGACACCCCTGTTAACTTCTCTCTGTTTCTGGAAGCAGTTCGTCTGCCTGGGACACCCTTCCACAATCTCTCTACCTAACTAACTCTTATTTCTTCAGCTAACTATTTAAATAAATGTTCCTTTTTCCAGGAAATCTTCCCTGACACTGCCACCGTGTGTGTGTGTGTATGTGTGTGTGTGTGTGTGTGTGTACATATATACACATACATATATACATACACACAGAAGTTCCTGCGTGGCGCAAATGGTTTGCGCTTTTCTACTAACCTAAAGGTTGGCTTTAGGCTGGAGGTTCAAACCCACCCAATAGAGCCACCAAAAAAAGGGCTGGCAAGCTGCAATGTAAAATAAGATTACAGTAAAGATAAAGATTACAGCCGGTAAAGGTTACAGCCAAGAAAACCCTATGGAGCAGTTCTATGCTGTAACACATGAGGTCGCCATGAGTCAGAATTGACTTGATAGCAACAGGTTTACTTTGGTTTATACATACACACACACATAACATACACAAACAGACACTTTTTTTCTTCTGAACCATTGAGAATAAGTTAGAGATGTCTTCTCTTTTACCACTAAATACTTTAGAACGGATTTCTTAACAAGGACATTCTCTTACATAACCATACATTCATCACATTTTTTTTAAATTAACATTAATAAAGCACTATTACCTAATCCACAGTTCATATTTAAATCTCATCAATTGTCTACAAATGTCCTTTATACCTCATACAGGGTCCAATCCAGCATCACACATTACATTTAGTTGTTATATCTTTTTAGTCTCTTTAGTCAGAAATAGTTCCTCAGCCATTCTTTGATCTTTGAAAAACGCAGGCCATTTATTTTGTAGAATAGCCCCAGTTTGAGTTTCTTTTAAAGTTTCCAGAAATGGAAGTAATATCGTGTCTTTCTAAGTACATTATATCAGTAGGCACAAGATGTCTCTGGGCCCCAAAATTGGTGATGTTTGCTTTGATCTCGTGGGTAAGGTGGTGTCTGCCAGGTTCTTCCACTACAAGGTGATTCTTTTTCCTATTATAATGAACAATGTTGAATAAGGATATTTTGACACTATGAAAATATCCAGCTCCTCATCAAACTTTCACCCACTAGTTTAGCATCCATTTTACATCTGCTTCATTTTTAAGAAGGCTTTTACATTGCTTTAAAAAAAAAAGAAAGAAGATATAATTATGATAAATAGATTCTTTAAACCACCCCACTTAAAACACCTGCCTCTCCCATATCAGTCCAATCTCTTCATTTATGAAAATCTTATCATCTAGGATTGAGAGAAGTCTGACATGTATGGCATTAGCCAAGGCAAGATTTCTCATTTGTATTTGCAAATCTATTCATGAATTATCCTTTCATTTCCTTTTCCTTTGCAATCAAAAATGAGAAAGAAGATATGCAATTATTATTTCTGGCTTGCCAAATGTCACACTATTGCTTTTGGTCACATTATGACGGGGATCAGTAATTGCATATATTTTTTCACACTTGCTACGAGGGCTCACTTGAGGCTTAGAAGAGCGTCCTGCAGTCTTGGTGTTTGTGGATTGAAAATCATTTGGATTGATTAAAGCCATGAGGAGAATTATGATGAGGGTCAGGTCGTATGGGCATCAGGAAGGTAAAATATTATTACCATTTAAACTAGAAATGGAACTCTTTCTAAGTGGATCATATTCACAATGACAGGCTGGGTTGTTTTTTGTAAGGTTAGTAATACCTGACATCACTCATCCATTTATTCAAAAGAAAATATTTCTATGAGCCTACTAAGTGAGAAACACTATCATCTACAATTTCTAACTTTTCAGTGGAGATCTTTGAATAATATCCTTCTGGGTTTTTAATAAAATTTGACCAAAAGGAGCATTGAGGGCTTTCTTGTAGGTTCCATTAAAGGAGCACAGAAACTCAAATACTGTAGATAAAGTAGCATTCCTTTGCCATCTAGGAAGATCATTTGTTTGACCAAGTACTCAGTTTCAGAAATCACCAAATGAACTGGGTAGAGAGGAAGTGATCCTCTTCCGGCCAACAAGATCATAAAAAGTCAGCCAATGTTTCATGGAATGGAAATCAGGACAGTGCAGTCACCTCTGACCCAAATGTCCTAGGAAAGAGCCTATCTCTTCTATTCCACCCATCACTGTCACTTGACATTCTGACCACAATGAGTTTCTCTCAATATCATCAGAAAATTTCAGGGCTAGAGAAACTCCAAAGAATAAATATCTTTCCCCCTTTTTTAAAGACATGTCTCAACATAGTTTCATATACTGTCCAATTAGTTTCTCACAAAAATCTGTGGGGAAAAAAAAAAAAAAAAAGCAAAGTAAGAATAGTTTTCTTTGCTGTATGGTGAAGAAACTGGAGATCAGCAATGTGAAGGGACAGCTCAGCATAGCAATAAACCGAAGCTAGAATTTTAACCTTCGTGGCCATAGCTAACCAGACTATACTTTTGCTCTTCCTGATAGCCCCAACTAGGTCATCAGTACCTTCAACTCCATTAAGTGCTTTCACGGACTCATGACAGTTTTAGTTGTATGTTATTGATATGATTATTTATTTAATGTCTTTCACCCTAGGACATATGGGCTATAGAATTACACTTATTTTTCTTACATAATATCCCACTATCTACATGGGATTGATGGGTAGGCAAGTGGATAGGCCAGTGTGCCACATTGTTCTCCTGACTATAGCCATTTAATGGTTTTGTTCTCTCACCTTAGCCCGCTGCCAGAAATGGCCCTCTCAGTGGACTCGTCTTGGCACCGGTGGCAGTGGCGAGTCAAAGATGGCCTCCCCTGGTCTGCTTCAGAAATTACACCACTGCTGTCTCCAGAGAGGCAGAGGCAGAGCTACAACCTGAGACAGCAGCGGGTCGTGTTCCCCAACAACAGAATATTCCACAAGGATTGGGAAAAGGTCTCCAGGAGATACTCCAGCAACAGAATCTGCACAACCAGATATACTCTCCTCACCTTCCTGCCCCAGAATCTCTTTGAGCAGTTTCACAGGTATACAAGCACTTGACACAAACACTTTAAATGAGTGTCTGCCACTTAGACAAACTTGGAGATCCTGCCTTCTGGTGCCACCTTTGCTTTCATATCCAGATGAAATAGTGCAGGCACCCATCCATGTGCAATGAGAAGTCTATGTCATTCATTCATTCATCAATCAACAAACACTTATTATGTTCTGCTCTGTATCAGGCCATGTGTTGAGTGCTAGAGATACATGAGGGGAAAAAAGAGAGAGACACTGACCTTGCTGAGTTTATTGTCTAGTAAAAGAGATAGACATTAATTTTTAAAATCATACAAATCAATGTAAAATTATAACTCAGATAATTCCAAGGAGAGGTGATGGTGCTATTAGAGGGAATAATACGGAAATCCGGTCTAGTTAAGGAAGTCAGGGACAACTTTCCTAAAGAAGGGATGATTAAAATATGATCTGAAGAACAAAAACACATTTATTGGATGAAAATTGGCAGAGAGAAATCACAGAAAGTATCCAGGAGACTGTTCCTCCAGGCAGACCTGTATGTGCAAAGGCACCGTGGCAAGAAGGAACAAGATGTACCTGGAAAACTTGAAAACACAAGCCATTCTCTTGAGATACTATATGAGAAATAGTTTTATAATTTTAAAGCTAATTATATACTTTGATATCCTAATTGTGTAATTATTCTTATGAGCTACCATTTACTGAGCAACTTCTATGTTCTGTATTGTGCACCTTACAAATGTTATCCTATGAAATATTTAAAATAACAGTTCTTTAAAGTATGTAGCACTATCCCCATTTAACGTAAGAGGAAACTGAGGCTCAGGAAGGTCACACAACTAGTAAACAATAGGGCCAGAGTTTGAATCTAGATCAGTTTGGCTTCAAAACTCTTACCGTAATGTTCTAAATAACACTATCATTTTGGTTGGTAAGAGTCAACGTTAAGAAAGAATTAGGATGGCAAGTACATTTTTCTTTTGTCTCCATGGCTTGCCCTCACACTTTGCTTGCCCCTTCCAGGTGGGCTAATCTCTATTTCCTGTTCCTGGTGATTCTGAACTGGATGCCTTCCATGGAAGTCTTCCACAGGGAAATCACCATGTTACCACTGGCTGTTGTCCTGTTCATTATCATGGTCAAGGATGGCATGGAGGACTTCAAGAGATACCTTTTTGATAGAGAGATCAACTGCTCCCACATCCATATATATGAAAGGTAAGGGAAATCATACCTCTATTTTCTCTCTTGCAAAGAAGTTATGCAAATTTATCAGCATTTTCAAAGGATTGGCCTTTCTTCTCATCTTATATTTTCTTAACCAGAACCAAACTAGTTGTCATGGAGTCGATTTTGACTCATGGTAACCCCATCTGTGTCAGAGTAGAACTGTTCTCCACAGAGTTTTCAATGACTAGTTTTTCAGAAGATCACCCGGCCTTTCTTCCGAGGCACCTCTGGGTGGATATGAACCTCCAAACTTTCAGTGAGCAGGCGAGAGCACTAACTATTTGCATTACCCAGAGAACAGTCATTTAATTCAGGGATTCTCAACTAGGGATGATTTTGCCCCTCAGGGGATATTTGGTTATGTCTGAAGACATTTTTGGTTGTCATACTATGAGGGAGGGTGCTGCTGGCATCTAGTAGGTAAGGGCCAGGCTGCTGTTAAACGTCCTACAATGCACAGGACAGCTCCCCACAACAAAGAATTATCTGGCCCAAAATGTTAATAATGGCATGGTTGAGATGCCTTGTGTAAACACTCACATTATTAAGCACACACACACCAAAAAAAAAAAAAAACCTGTTGCCATCAAGTCGATTCCAACTCATAGCAACGCTATTAAGCACAAGGATGTTATATAATGAAGAAAACCAAAAAGCCAAACCTGTTGCTGTCAAGTTGATTCTGACTCATAGCGACCCTACAGGGCAGAGTACATCTGCCCCATAGGGTTTCCAAGGAGAGGCTGGTGAGTTTGAACTGCTGATCTTCTGGTTAGCAGCCAAGCTCTTAACCACTGAGCAATCAGAGCCCCGTATTATTAAGAGTTGGGTTAAAATTTCAGGAATTCAACTCTGTGGTTGACTAGATCATCTCAGAAGACTAAATTCAAGAGCAAGTCTTTGGAGGGCCTCAGGCAATGCCTCTGAAACAAGAAAATATATACCCTGCTTAAAGCATCCGAGGTTCTTAGCTTAAAATCCTTGTTTTTAGAACTTAACCAGGTAGGTTTTAGGACCCAGAGTTAGCCCACCTGTTCTTGGCTGCCAGGTGGAAAAGGAAGATACCTGTGGGTGACGTCTACATTCCAACAGGTGGAGTTCTCAAACAAGTAGAAGGAAGTGGCCTGGCAGAGTACACACCTGTTCTCTACAAGCTCTTTCCTTTTCATATCCCTCCCCTGGTGTTTCTATGCAGCGTTTTGTTTTTAATTTTCCTTTTGAAAGAAGAGAGAGAATTTTCAGCAGAGAAGACAAGTGAAAGATGTGAAGGACTTGGCTTGCTGACAGCTGAACAATGGAACTGATCAGGGAAAAAACTCCCTTACCGGGAAATGCTAGGCTATGAGAACGAAAGAAATAAGATTGAGCCGAGATGAGAAAGGAAGGTAGGAAAAAGCGAAAAAGGAAAGAAGACAAGAAACGAGTGGTAGTTTCCAACCTACCCTTTGAAGAATGGACCTACAAGGAGAACCCCAACAAGCATTATCGTGGGAATCAGATTAAGACCAGCAAGTACACTGTATTGTCCTTCCTACCTAAGAACATCTTTGAGCAGCTCCACCGGTTTGCCAATCTCTACTTTTTGGCCATTGTGGCTCTGAATTTTGTCCCCGTGATCAATGCATTCCAGCCTGAGGTGAGCATGATTCCAATCTGTACGATTCTGGTGGTGACTGCCATCAAGGATGCTTGGGAAGACTTCCGGAGGTTCAAATCCGATAGAGTGATCAATAACCGAGAGTGCTTCATCTACAGCAGGTAAAGCAAAAATAGTAATAAAACCCAGGAATTCTTGCTGGCCCAGCTTTGACTTTTCTGTGGCTGCTAACACAGTCACTTCTGTGTATGGAAGGGATGGGGTAGGGAGAGTCATTATTTTCTCCTAATGAAGCTATCCAATTACAATCCCCCCTCCACCCACCCCCATAAGGGTTATAATTAAAAAGAGGATTGTGTCAGTTGTTCAAAATTAGGAGATCTTTGTTATGTGGCATTTTCTCTGCCATTTCAGATTTGTTTAGCATTTAAGAATTTTTCATAAATTCTCATCTCTTAGTTCAGTGTGGCTATGAGCACATTTGAGCGTGCCTGGGGGCCGTCAGAGGAAAGATCATCACTGTTTTTCAGAGAGGAGTAGCGCACTGTGTTAGGAGAGCCAGCACTGGAGACACACTGCCTGGGCTGAATCCCATTTCCAAACCTTATTAACTACATAACCTTGGGCAAGTGACCTAACCTCTCTGAGCCTCATTTTGTCATTCATCAAATTGGAATGCTTCCTGGGGTGGTCGTGAGAATTGGGTGAGATAATCCACCACAGAAAGTGCTTTGCACTCTGCCAGCATAAATTCTCAATAAATGCAAGGTACTGAGACCCTGCGTGACGCAAACAGTTACCACTCAGCTGCTAACTGAAATGTTGGGGGCTCCAGTCCACTCAGAGGCACCTTGAAAGAAAGGCCTGGTGATCTACTTCCTAAAAATCAGCCACTGAGAACCCTATGGAGCGCAGTTCTAATCTGACACACATGGGGTCGTCATGAGTCAGGATCGATTCAATGACAACTTTTTACTGTTGCTTTATTTTTACAAAGTAAAGCTCATATTAGCTCTATCATCAAACCTATCCTTGAGCTTCCTCTGACACTGTCCCGGTTTCAAAGTGAAGTCTGCACACAACCTGTCTTGCCACATTATCCAACACCATTTTATACATGTTGTTGTTTTATGAAAATTCCATTGAACAAATGACCAAATTGGGTCATTAGAGAAAGGGCATGCTTTCGGTCAGTAAACGAGAAAGAGTTATCGTGTGTCTCAACTTTGTGACAAGTTGTGTGGCCCCAAAAGGTGGATGAGAGCTAAGTCTTGGACTTACAAAGGAGAGGTTACAGTGACCAAAAGTGTTTTCTGGGCTAGCAGTTAACAGCCTTAGATTATTGACTCACAGCAGATAAGGGCCTTACTCCTTGCCAAGTAAGGAAACGTTCGTCTCTCTCAAGGAGCACCACAGGCCTATCTTGTTCCCTCTAGCTTTATCCAGCACAGTGTCACAGAAGTTCCACAGGTGCTCTGGTCATTGTTTAAATGAAAGGGCCTCGCTTTGTGTGATGCACAGTAGCCATTTAGGGACTGCTTACTTCTAAGGAGCCCTGGTGGCTCAATGGTTAAGAGCTCAACTGCCAACCTTTTGGTTTGCAGTTGAAATCCACCAGCTACTCCTTGGAAACCCTATAAGGCAGTTCTACTCTGTCCTATAGGGTCACTATGAGTCAGAATCAACTCAATGGCAATGAGTTTGGTTTTGTTTTTTTGGTTTACTTCTAAGGGAGTCCCTGGGTGGTGCAAAAAGTTAATGCGCTTGGTTGTTAACTGAAAAGTTGGAGGTTCAAGTGTGCCCAGAGGTGCATCAGAAGAAAGACCTAGCAATCTACTTCTGAAAAATCAGCCACTAAAAACCCTATGAAGCACAGTTCTACTCTGACACGCTTGGGGTCGCCGTGAGTCAAAGTTGACTCAACAGCAACTGATTTTTGCTTCTAAGGAGAGTTCTCTTCCCTGGGGAAGTAACAAGTAAATAGCTTGGAACTGGACAACTAGAGGGTATATAATCTGAAGTCCACTTGGAAAGTTATAGCCAGGGGAAGTTTCCAAGGAGACTGTTTGACACGAGATTTTTCTCCAGAGAACCCCTAAGATAAACTCCATGCTGACCCTTGGCATCAAATGGCCTTCTAGCCTCTTTTCTGGGAGGGCAATAATTGTGCATCTAAAAGAATAAATTTTTGTTTGTTTGCTTGCTTGCTTCCTTCCTTGCTTGCTTGTTTGTTTTTTGCTAGATCTAATTGTCCCTGAGTGGTGCAGTTAATGTGCTTGGCTGCTAACCAAAAGATTGGCATTCAAGTCCACCCAGAGGTACCTTGAAAGAAAGGCTTGGTGATCTACTTCCAAAAAGTTAGCTATTGAAAATCCTGTGGAGCAGTTCTACTCTGACACACATGGGTCACCATGAGTCAACAACTGGTAATTGTCTTGACTGTTGCAAGCACACTGGATACCTCGAGGTGAGATTTAGTCACCCTCACCTTTGGTAAGGAAATTATAAACAGAAGAAGAACTGCTGAGGTGTGAGGCCTTTCTTTGAAGAGGCTGTTTTTAAGAAAGCAGTGTTTTTCTTTTGAGACCAATCCACACCATCACTTTCTGTTTTCCACCTCCCCACACCCCAACCCCATACAATATGCATAGTGGTGAACCAGGAAGCTGGTTCCTTGAGGAGGAATGTACATGGACCACCATGAGTCTGGTCCTGCCAGAAATCCTCAGCCCCAAGCATGCCTGAGTAATGGGCCTGTTCTTGGGGATAATCTCAGAGTTGATCAATCCATGGACTCACCTGTGCTGGGTGCTGGCCTGATCTAGGCCAGTCTATTCTATTCTCAAAATAGCTTCCTGGGAACATCTGAAAACCAAGGTGATAATGATCTTAGAAAAAGGAGACATTAGTTTACCAGCTCCCTAGTAGGGAGGAACATAGGGGGCTTTAAGACAGTATTTCCCAAAGTGTATTCAAAGAGACAAACCAAAAAACCAAACCCATTGCCATCAAGTTGATTCCAACTCATGGCAATCCCATGTGTGTCAGAGTAGAGCTGAACTCCATAGGGTTTTCAATGGCTGTAATCTTATCGAAGTAGATCGCTGGGCCTTTCTTCCATGGCACTGCTGAGTGGACTAGAACTGCCAACCTCTTGGTTAGAAGTCAAGCACAAACCATTTGTGTCACCCAGGGACCTTAATGACAAAGAGATGGTCTCTAAAAAAAAAAAAAAGTTCATGACCAAAAATGTATGCTGGCTCTCCTGACCCATGGCACATGAAGGACTAAGAGAAGGTACACAGTAACTTCTCAACATTGATTAACTCTCTGTTACTGAAAGCTTACTGGACCTTGGAAATATTTTTTAATGCTTATTAATATTTTTGTT